CATGCCCTTTCATTTGACACCTCATCTTTTAAAATCGAACGAATGATGCAGATTTTATGACTCGTTGTTAAATATTTAAGGCAAACATCTGCGGCAGAGAAATTTTGAATTCGATTTTCTAACATGTGGCAATTCCTTTCATGGAACTAAAGCTATGTTGCACACCCGAAGGTCGAGGCCTTTCATGTGACACCTCATTTTTGAAAATCGACTGAACGATACAGATTTATGACTTAGTGTTAAATATTTAACGCAACCATCTCCGAACTCGTGTAAGAAGCTTCACTTAAAAAAAAAAAAAAAAAAAACATTTAAGACCAACCATGCTGGGCATTTGTTTTTTTTTTATCTCTCGATAGTATCGTAATAATAAAACAAACGTAATCTCTTTCCCTAACAATTTGACAGATATGTAATCCATTTTGTAGACTTGTAGCGTACATGCATACTTGTCCGTACATGCATGCGTATAAATGTGTATACATACTATCTATCCATACGTTTATCATATTATCTTATTAATGCCGTTTTTTGAGTTGTGTCAGTCTCTTAGTAAAGGAGCGATATGAACATAAATACATTAACATAAGTTTCTGATTCTAGCATGTGCACAACGGCATTATCTGAAGTATGAACGCATTTGTTTTATAATTCGTCTCACTATGAGTACATATATTGATTACTTGAAAAGTAACTTTTATAAATAGTAACGTGCGCACTGGCACAGTTGCAAGATGATGTGACATGACTGAGTAATTTAAAGAGTAGAGTTCCGGTATTATTTAAATTACTTCAAAACAAGGCGAATTTATATAAGGTGGTGTTGTTTCATCAGCTGTTTCATCAGTAGCTTTTGATTGTCAAAATTTTGTATTTCGTTAGCGAGTGAGTGAAAACGTGAGAGTGTTTGTATTTTCTGTCGCCCTTTTTCATTCGGGGAAGAATAGCTGAATTTTGACAATGGCCCGCTAAAAGCAAAAACAAAATACAAGTAATTGTTGTATTTGTTGAATCGATACCACCTTATATGCATTCGCCTTGCTTCAAAATTAAAAATACAATTTTTATGTCATATTTGAAAACGCATATTTTTAAAACGAAAAAGGAAAATTTTACAATGTAATTTAAACATGCGCATCTTCAATTATCAAACCGTCGTTTTTAAAAGCGATTTGTATCAAAAACAAAAACGTAGATTTAAGAAGCTGAATTGAACAGAACATTTTCGTTCTCAAAACTTAAACATATATTGTAGGTGAAAAACCTGGACCGAAACGTTTTTAACAATAAAACGTTCTATACAAATTCGAAAACGAAAATTTCTCTGTGTGCAATTCGTTGGAACATTTTTTAAAATGTTTTATTTTAGTTTTGAAAATACGCATTTTCGGCGGTATTTTTAACAAATCGATTGAAGATGAATGAAAAAA